GCTGTAGTGTGGATGTGATATTGTATCAGCAAAACTGTAAATTTGTGTTTCCTTCCTTTAGTTGTCGGACTGTAACCTCTCCTTCAGATGAACTCAGATAAGCTCTACCTTCACAGGCAGTAAAACTGATCAGTAAAGCTCAGCCCTGGCGGTCCCTGACCAGTTTGGTGCTCGTCCAGGCTGCGAGCTGTGAGGCGGTCTGAGCTGCCGCTCCCTGCTAACAGGATTATAATTTTATAATGAGCAGGTGGCTCCAGATTAAAACCCTGAGTAGAAACTCTGAAATTAGACTGGGAGGTGGACCAGCCCTGAACCACGCACCATGTGTTTTGGCTCTCGCCTCATTTGCTGAAGGGAATATTCTGTGGTTTCAAACGTTTAATTTGCTTGCGTGCTGCATGTGACGGGTGTGATGAGCTGCTGCCGCCGGGAAGATCCTGGATGACACGTTAAAACAGGAAATAATTTGTTTAAGGCCTTCAGCAGCGTGTGTTTAAAAAACGTTTGGGTCAGGAGACGCTTGTAAAACATGTATCAGCTCTCACATAAAGAGCATTCTCGCCGCTCTTCACTTCGCTTTGTCTCGTTTTGTTTCGGAACAATTAGAGCTCCTCTCCCCGGAGAAGAAGACTGCGACTGTGAGGCTGGAAATGTGCTGAAACGACCTCATGGTTATCGCTCTTTGTGGCTAATTAGATGCAGTTTAGTCCAATTACCTGCTATCGGATCACAGGATAAAACCCTGCACTCTTGGCAGAGGCATGGGCGGGGTGGAGAAAAGAAGACATCAAAGACTTTCCTTCCTCACCACAGACAGAGATGTGGTGAGACTTCTGGTGTCGGCCCAGGGCCGTGTGATTGGCTGGCCAGTTCTTAAATAGCTTTATAGTTTTAATGAAACCAGGAGGCCGTTATCTTCCTGCTTGACATGTATTTCCCTTCACTGCCCTACTTTTATGCTCATATCTTCGCCTTTTGTGTCTTCCACATGTCGGCTTAGCTAAAGGTAAACGACACACAGTGAAAGGACAGTAATTAATTTACCCACGTACAAGTACATAGCTCAAATACAATTTTGAGGTACTTGTACTTAAGTTTTTCCAATTTCTGCCACTTCATACGTCTACTCCACCACATCTCAGAGGGACATATTGTACTTTTTACTCCACTACATTTTTTTGATAACATTAGTTACTAGTGACTTTGCAGATTCATATAAATATTACAAATTACAATCAATTAATAAATTATGATACTTTAAGATAAGACTTTATTGATCTCTGGGAGGGAATATATATATATATAGGCTCCATCTTCAACAGCTGCAACATTAAAGTGACAAATACATTAATGCATCAATTATAGATATATTATAGATGAAATGGGCCATGGGTATAAGTACTTTTACTTTTGGTTCCTTGAATATAGTTTGATGCAAATACTTTTGTAATTTACAGCTAGTTAGCATTAGTGACTTATTGCTATTTTTACGTGGGTAAAAGATCTGATTATTTCTTCTATCACTGAGTGAAAATATATCCAAAAAAGGTTATTTTTTTGTTCACACACATACAAACTGTGGTTTCAGTTTGTCTGCTGCGCCTGTCATTACTTTAAACCTGTGAAGGAAGAAGTATTTAAAGCCAAGTACCATTAACGATATTAAACGTGAAAAATACTCTTAACATCTTAAAATGTTTAAGTAAAAGTTTGTTTTATTTATTTTAGTTTAAGCAACATGTAACCGTAAAATTATCTGTTGTTAGACTTTGTTTAGTTTATGTCTAATTGATTGATTGTGATTATTAAGCTGAAAATGTGGCAGTTTTGCAAAATTCCTTAAGTTTACATATTTTTGGATAAATGATTTTTACCTGAGGCCACCCAGTATCATCTAATGTTTAAATTAAAATCTGCAACCAGTCATCCGTGCTATCAATCATCAATCCTAAATACATTGAGTCTCATATATTATATTCACAAGGAAGTGTGTTTTGTGATGTTTGATCATTTGCACAATCGATGCCCGAAAATTAATTTATTGTAGCAGGAGAAGAAGAACTTCGCAGGACAGTCAGAAAGTCTGTCAGAAATTGGCTGATAAACACAGCAAATTTAGCAGAGTCAGTAGTCGTGTTAGTGTCATCGCAGAGAAAATGAAGTTAGGTGACAAAAAAGCAGTCCATGATTAAATTGGGTAACGAGATAATTGAGAGAATATAATGTATTTCAAGTGAAGTTATACTGTGAGGTGTTATAATGGAGGATAAAGTGATTTTTCTGCCAGTTACTGATTCTGTTATGCCAAAATATTCATGCCAGTAAAATCTAATAACAAACCCCTGTTGTTGAATCTCTCAGAAAATTGTGTGCGATTAAAGTAATAGGTAGTAAGAGTCCCAGTTTAATGACAGTTCAGATATGTTCCAAGTGGTAGTCCAGATGTGCAAAGAGCAGGCTGTTCTAAAAAATAAATAATAAAGTAATGCAATAAAAAAAGACTTGTTCTAGAGGCCTGGATCTGTTTTGTTCAACCTAAAGAAAAAAGCAGTAATCTTAAATCACTCGTACGTGCCGATTGCTTCCTGCATGAAGCCAACTATTTTCATCTGAAATGTAGAACGTCTCCCAAAATGAAAATGTATCTCAGGAACAGGCTGTGCTTCACGTATACTCCCTGTTAAGTTATTTTTGATGAATTTGGTCGCAGCAAACGTGCGCTCCCAACATGTGTCCGGTCTTTGTGGCCGTTCTGCTCTGTTCTCTGCAGAGTTTAATGAGTCTGAACTTTAGCAGCGCTGCATGTTACATCCGTGTGAAAATAGCTCCTGAAAGTGCCGCTATCTGGGTCAGGGACGGGCAGCGACGTGCCGCGGAGGATCTGCAGCAGCTGGTTTCAGTCAGCAGATGAAGAAACTCTCTCTCTCTCTCTCTCTCTCTCTTTCGCTGTCAGCTGTTGCAGTGAAACCTTATTTATTGTTCACAGCGTTCCGTAACTTGGCTAAACTCTACATGAACTTTTCTTTTCTGTCCACTGACATATTGTCCATTTAGAGCAGATTTCCAGCACCTGGAGAAGGCTCGATAGCGCTTTTTAATTTCTGACACCACAAAATTGAGCATATGCAGATACCAATCTTTTTCATTTACTGATTTGGCAAACGCTTTTATCAAATGTAAATTTGAAGAACAACAAACAAATATCAGTCAGTAATGTAAGTCAGTCAGATCTATGATCAATAAATACTAGAGCTATTAGCACGCACAGCATCAATGGGGTAAATACCTAGGGGAAGAAGTAAGAGTTTACAAATAGTGCAATCGATACAAGAAAATTGTAAGGAAAGAAGAGGAGCACAGGAAGTGCATGTTAGGAGTTAGAGGTGTTACCAGAGAAAGCGTTCTCTGCAGAGTTTTCAAGAGCTTCTTGAAGTTAGAGAGGGACGCCCCTGCTCTGATGGCGTGTGGTAGCTCGTTCCACCATCGCGGTGTCACAGATGAGAACAGGGACTGAGATTGCTTTGTGTGAAGGGATGGCAGAGCCAGGCGGCGTTCGTTGGAGGAGCGTAGCGGCCGAGAAGGAACGTAAACTTGTATTATGGAGTTTAGGTAGATGGGTGCAGACCCAGTAGTCACTCTGTTTAAGTGAGTCCTTTTGGGCTGATCAAAAACCAGACGCGCCGCTGTGTTCTGAACCATTTGTAAGGGTTTCACCGCACAAGCTGGGAGACCTGCTAGGAGGGCATTGCAATAGTCGAGTCGAGAGATAACCATGGCCTGGGCCCGGTGTCACGAGGGGGCAGATGTATTTTCTGCCCCTCCAGTCTAGAACCAGCAATGGGCAAAATTTACCTGCTGCGTGTCGATTGTAGCCTCGGCCTATTTGTTTCTATACAATATTCAAGAACCCTAGTATTTGACTTGAGTGTGTTATGTAGCTTAGGTCACTGTCACACAAGATAAAGACTGAAAACGGCTTTCTCATTTCAAACCGCCTCGACTGATTGGTGTATTGCATGTTATGCCCTACACACCCATGACTAATTCACAGACTAAGTAAAACCCTTTTGAACCACGCGCACAGACAATTTTTTTTCTGCCGTCAACCATGCCAAGTTTGAGTTGGACACGCCCCAAACGCAACTCCACCATGCACTTCACGTCGTGAAGGGCCCTGTGTATTGAGGTACACATATAAAAAGATTTGCCCCCTTGCCACTTTTAACTGACCCCTCTGTACCAGAAGCTGGTTGGTGTACTGAGTGAGGGAGGGCCTGATTTTTCCACACTGGTTGGAGTGATGGTTGAGGAGCCATATGCAACTTGCAGGTACCTGGAATTGTCTGATCAAATGTTATGCTTAAGTGGGTAATGTACAAAATTAAATCCTTTTATAGTACACAATTCTCTCTTCGTTTACCCACATCCTGGTAACTGCATGAAGGTTTATGGCTGGGACAAAACACCAACAGTAAACCTGCAGCTGAACTTCAGAAGGACTTTTCATGCATAACTTTTCTTCCATTTCTTGCATTGTAGTCACATGATGAGGGGAAAACTTCTTGGACATTTGGTAATGGTTCCAACTTGAAACCGGTTCTTGATACCCAGCCCTACACACATAGTAGCAATACAGATCAATACATACATGAACATGAACATACATATGCAGCAGAACTGTACACACAGAGGGATGAAGCTGTGCAGCCTCCGGTCTGTTCTGATCCTCCACTGTTAGAGAAACATGCCTGAACGACCCCCAACACACACCCATTCTAATTAAGGACTCTTTCTCTCTCCTCTTGGCGTCCCTCCCTAATTGGCTTCTCATTAATTATGCTCCATTTCATATTCCCTTAATGAGTCTAAACCCGCCTCCCTTCTTTAACGCTAATTAGCAGCTTTGAGGCTCACACTGACAACAACAACATGAAGAAGAGGAAACAGCCTTGTGATGTTTCACAGTGTGTTAACATCTCTTGTGTTTTGTCTCTCTGCAGCACCCCTACCCTTCAGAGGAGCAGAAGAAGCAGCTCGCTCAGGACACCGGCCTCACCAACCTGCAGGTCAACAACTGGTGAGTCTGCGACACTGACGACGCCACACATTACACTACCCCCCCCACCCTGAGGCAACCTGAAGCTAATGATTTGAATGATTAATTCCTGTGGGGGTTGCCCTGTGTCCAAATATCCCCCCACTTACTGTTACAGAGGGCAGGAGGCAGTTAATTGGAGCCTTAATTGGAGCTGGAGGGTGGATGTGGGGAAGTAGGGACCTGTTGGATGTTTCCTGGTCCATTCTGTTTACTGATACAGAAATGGAAACATCAGTAAGTTTCACTGCTGAGGATTTAACCACTAACACACAGTGGCAACTTTTAGCCAATTTCCAAAGTATATTCATGTTTTGTGACCGTTTTCACACAAAACAAGGAAGTTGTTTAGGAATTTCACCGGCATTTTAAGAACAGAACCTTGTCCCAGTTTTTATTTGTCATTTTTTTTCATTTGGTTTAGTTTAATTCAGGTAAGTAGCACTGCTTGGTGAAGGTTAGGGAAAGATCATGTTTTAAAGGAACCAACATTGATTGGCAGGAGACGGGATTCAAACACCAGTAACACACTTTATGCACCCAGCCATCCAACCCAAACATCACGCTGCGTCTGCTCCTTAGAGACTGAGTGCAGTTTTGGTCTGTTAACAAAGCAACAACTGAGGACATTGCAAAACAGTCCCATTAATAGCAATAGCAATCATTTTCGGTTGCTAACATGCAAAAACTCTTCACACAGTCAGTGAAACACAGACGACCACAGACGGTATAAAAGAAGTGGACGTAGCCACCATAACGTCACCCCGTTTTGACGCCTCAATTTTGGCATAAGTGACCATATTTGTATGATAGTGTGGCGGCGTTAGCTAGCTTGGTTAGCAAGGTGCATCTGTAATTCAAGTTAACTGTGCTAATAACTGGGATGCTAATTTTGTCTGTCGATAAAAACAGGCTTAAAACTAACAAACATACTTGCCAGTGTAACGGTAGCCAGCCAGGCTTTGCAGTGAGTAAACCTCGCTCTCCAATGCCTTAAGAGACGCACTAGTGACCGATGCTAGTGCCCATAAGTTTTAGCCTCCTCACTAGCACGTCTGCCTCCCGTACCCAAGGTCGCAAGTTCGAGTCTGGACTGTGAAGAACAACCTCAGGGATTATTACACCAGCATAACAGCCGACTCCTTAGTGTCTTTTAGTAGAACCGAACGGCGACCAAAATCTTCAAGTTAACGTTCATGAAGTAAAAACACACTGTCGAAGACGAAAACAGTGATAGATCCCAAAAACACGTTCACGGCTAGTTAAATGTACACAGAGCAGCGGATACAAGTCGCCTCTATCCTATCGATGTGTTAAGATAGCACCGCTCTGTATCCACCAAAGTATATTTTACCAGCTGAAAACGGCAGCTGCTGTTCTGAGAATGCCTAGCTGGGAGCGTTAGGGTGCGCTTTGGAAGTGCAGCGTTTTTTTCAAGACGCTTTGGTTGCTATGATACATAATATACGTAGAGGAGATGTGTTGCATGTAGGCTACCTAATTTTACTGAATGTAAAAATGTCACCACACAGTAGGGTAGGCCTACTTGCTCTGAATGAAGAGAAGGCTGAAACATGCAGAGCGAGGTGACAGACTTGCCTCACATGGGTTCGTGAGATTTTGCGGACGAGGAAATAACTTGGCGAGGAGGCACATCGTTTCGTTCAAAAACGGAAATGGCTCGGTGTGGTGTTTTGTCCCGCCCCTCCTGCACTGTGATTGGATGGCTGGGGAAAAGTGACAGTGACGAGTGCTGCGTTTTCCCCAAAGTTGAAAATTTTTCCACTATCGGCGACCAGAAAAAACACCCTGCGTGGAAAAGACGCTAAGCGCCTCTTCACACTGCTGGCTTTTTTATGATGTTGTAAAAACGCAGTGCTCCCATTGCAATCAATTCAAAAAAGCCTCAGGAAAAAACGCTTTGGTGGACACAGGCCCTAAAGCCTGCCCTGCTTTCTGGTCTCTGTTCCTCTAAATGGGACCATAATTTACTAAATGAACATCATGCTGTGTTGAAGAAGACTTGAAACTAGTGACTGAGACCATAAACTCATCAGGAAAGTGTTTACTGAGGGAATAAATCAGCTGAGAAGTAGAAACATTTTCTCAGACTTCTATACAATCACACTTCTTTCTGCAGCCAGTGGCTCTTCAGTATTGGCTTCACTTGAGCAGCTTACTAACAGCTTATTACACATTTTTACCTCTTTTGTCAGGCCGCTACCTCTAGTGATAGAAGAAGTGATAAAGAGCGATAAATTCCGTATAAGGAGGTGGTGAGTAACAGGGGCGTTTTTAGGATCTTGAAACATTCGGGGGCTTAGCCCAGCCCATAAAACTTCATATCTCCACATAATAATTGACCCCCCCACCAAGTTAAGTCTGAAAAGCAGTTAAGCAACACTAAACATCCTCTACTTATATGGCACAACAAAACTCTCAGCAACACGGTCTCATTTTCATGTTGCTAACTTGTCATGTGTCTAATTATAATAATATAACAACAAAACTGCAGCATGAACCGTTAAACACTTAATTTCCTGCATTCTGGTGTTTTTCTGCACTAATGTCTGCCTTTTCTGTATCAATTTATTATGGAAATTATTTACGTAAAGCAACACACAAAATTCAGGTGTCAGGCAGGTGGTTGAAACATTGTGAGCCGGTTTCACTGGTTGCTTTTAAATGACTTGAAGGCTGGCAATTCTGCCTTCAGATGTTTACTCATTTGATCGTCCTTGTTGCTGAATTGTGGTGAATATTTAAGAATATCTTGATATTTTATGACCTTGTAATTGATTATTGATTCCCATCTTAAATGTGCAATTGTACTACTGCCTGCCTTGGCTAAGAAAGAGTTTTTCTAGTTTAACAAAGGTTTAATAAAACAATTAAAATCTAAAACTGAATATAATGCAGAGAGTTTCTCCTGTAGATCAACTTAATATCATCACTGCTGAATCAACACACACGCAGACGTGACTGATTGAGGTAACCTCTTTAAATGTGCATGTGGCACCTTTTTACATCATCAATAATAAAATAAATCATTTTAATTCAGTTATAAACTCCTGGACTTTAATAGCTCCTGTGTTTCAGCAGATTTTCTGCTCATGTTCAAAGTTCTCTACATTCAGAATCTAACTCTCTGACATTTCCAGAATAAAGGATATTTTGAGAAGTCAAACAGGATAAATCATAATAAACTTTGCAATCAATCCGCAGTCCACCTGCATGCCGCTCCGTGTGGAAGGGATCCATACCACGGATTCTGCAACCCGTTGCAACACTACTATCCATGGCAGTGTGGGGATTTAATTCTTGCATGTTTTGTTGAGCAGGATCACGGCTCCTATGTGTCCACATGAGGAAAGGTCAAGATAGGCTATCAGAGTAAAAATGGACTGTCTATTGCATTAGACTAGGCAACTTGATGAGTTTATTTTTTTTAAGTAGCCAATTAAAATATTCCTGCAAATGCAGTGAAGAAGTTCAAGTTCTAAAATTCGTGATTTATTTTCATTCATAAAAATATCTCAAAACATCCCACCATTTATTAGCCTACTTATAAACGCCAACAGGGTTTATAAGCTGCAGCTTGGAAAAGATAACTGCGTCGCGCACAAAACCTCTGTGAGGACCAGTCCAATCAACACATGTATGGGCACACATAATTTAAAAACAAGACAGTAATTCAGCTGTCTGTCTTTCAATCTAGGTTTAGTTAGTCTGTGATAATGCAAGTTTCCCCTTCTGACTGAAGCAGAACCTCATTTGGTGACTTGACTAGATGAGACAAGGAGGTGGAACAGGAATCTAACTGAAAACACTTAGGGACGTAGGAGCGACTTTGAACCTGGGGGGGGATGCTGAAATCAGAGCACTTAAATGCTAATTTCTAATAACTTTTGAAAACAGAATTTACTTATTATTGTGTAAAAGAGGGTATTTGCAGTGACAGAAGATGGAGAACAGACTGGGGAGGGGAGATTATGAAGACTTGGGTGCACAGTCAGAGTATAATATAGGCTAACTAGAACAAAACCAACTACATAAACCATGGAACAGCTGCTGGTTAATGTAGCTCGCCACGGCACAAATGTATTCCGTTCTCTTAATGTTCCACTTGTCTGTGTCTCACTCGGCCCTGACTCTCCCTGTTCTGTGGTCACTTCATCTCACATCTAGGAAAGCAACAAATGTTTGTGAACACAGAACTTACTTCAATGCAAACTCTGATGACATGCTATACAGTCTGTCTGCTATCTGTCCATACAACTTCCAGGCTCATCCTCCTCAGTTACTTCTGCTCCTGCTCCTCTGTCCTCTTCCTCTTAAAATACTGCAGGATGCTCATCTCTGTGTGAACATTTTGACCACTGTTACTTTTAAATTGTTTATGGACATGTATTCACAAATGCAGGACTTTTTAAGGTCAAGGATGGTCAGACACGGGGGCAAAAAAGTGGCCCAGGAGTTTGTCCCTGGTCAGTCCACTCTCCAGACAAAGTATTTGTCGGGGCCCTGTGTCTTTAGAGAACTTTATTCCTGCATTCTTAAGAATTTTATGCAAGGAGAGTGTAGTGTAGATAACTTTATAAGCCAGTACATTTTCAAAACTAGAAACCCCTCTCTAACTCTTCTAAAGTAAAGTCATCACCTCAGCTGAGCCCTTGAGTATGGTAACTAAATAATCCATATCATCATCATGCTCACCATAAACTGGTGCATTGTGCTGTGCTGGTTCTGACTCTGTTTTGCTATAGACCTCGTCTCTGCTGTCTGTCTGTCTCATAGTCACCATGGCAGCGCTAGTAGGCCTATAGGTGCTGCTGGCCAGCTGCAGGTAGAGTACTCAAAATCTTTACTCAAGAAAAGTACAATTACTCCCATAAAAAGAAAAAAAATTACAAACCTATTCCATCTGCTGTTCAGCAGGTTAGAAACAGCTGTGCAGCTTTGCCTGCTGATTATCTGTAATT